CCTACTTTTAAAAAAAGCGGGGGAGGAGGAGGAGAATCAATAAGATTTTCTTTTGTAACTGCCAGGATTGTATACACATAATTCAAAATAATCCACAAACTATTTGAAAAAAAATTCAATAATTTAATTTATAAATGTCACTGGATACAAAGATCAATGTACAAAAAGAAACTGCAATTCGTGCTAGCTCAAAAATCAAAATGGAAATAAAAATATTTACAAAGTCAAACATACCACATACCTAGAAATAAGTTAAAAATATTCAAGACTTATACAATTAAACTACAAAATGCTGTTAAGAGACATTACAGACAACCTAGGTAAATATATGATTTTATTATGTTCAATTGGAAGACTCAGTATCATAAGATGTCAATTTCATTCAGGTTATTGCATCAAGTCAATGACAATTCCAAGCACTCTCAGCGTATTTGTGAAAATTGATAAGGAAATTCTTAAAGTATAGAAACAAATGAGGAAATAAAAAAGTTGTCTCTCACTACCAGATTTCCAAACGTACTACACAAAGCAGCATAGAGGTTGAGAAGTCATCTTTAGCAATCTAAAGATATGTTAACAGATGGTATCTAAACTTATGAAAGGATTTCTACAATTACTTAGCCTTTGTTGAGTTACCAGACTTCAGTTCCCCACCATCGCTAAGACCACAATAAGCACCACATGCTAGCAGACAAGATTACCTCTATTCCCATATCTGCACTTGCCCACTGCCATCTCCTCCCCTCCTCCATCTACATCACAATTGTCAGGACTCTGATTCAGTTAGGGCAGACTCTGGTTTCTGGATGAGCCCGGGAGCCTGTCCTAAACAAATCAGGGCACTGCGCTGTAACCGGATAACAATTGGCAAGTGAGCCAATCAGATTCTATTATGATCAACATAATGGAATTATTCAAAAAGACCATCAGCTCTTTTCTCCCTGGACTTCAACCTAGATAAAGCAACCTGGATCTTCTGGGACCTACAGCACAGAGAAATAGCCTGCCAGGAAAAATAGCTAATACAAGAAGAATGCACAGCCACGACATGTGGACAGAACTCATCCAGATAATAAATTCCCTTTATAGCTTGCGAAAATGAGAAGAGTGAAAAGACAAGCTAGAGACTGGGAAAAGTTATTTGCAATATATGTATATATAATATACGTAGCATATATATGTCACGGTTTTATACATATGTCTATATAACTAGGTGTAGAGATACACATACATACAATAAAGTATAAATAACTTGAAAGAAACCCTTCAATTAAAAAAGAAACCAAAAATGGGTGAAATGCTTCAACAGGATGCCCTCATAAAAGATATACAAATAACCAATAAGCACATAAAACGTACTTCTCATCCTTACTATCAGGTAACTGCAAACTAAAACCAAAGCAGGAGATTACTAAATCCTCTGCCGGATGGCTAAAATTAGAAAATGCTGGCCAGCTACGTGGGAATAATCATAATTTTCACACGTTGCTTTTAGGAGGATAGGTGGAATCTACCTTTTTGAAGGTAGTAACTATCTTTTGCAGTAACTATCAAAACTAAAGTCTACCCTATGCTTCAGTGACTTCACTCCTACATACAAAACAGATACCAAGAGAAATCAGTTAAGTCTGTGAAAGAAACAAAAGGTGAACCAGACACCATGCTGAGAAAAGAACACATGATTGTATATGTTGTACTTAAGAACTTAAAGATCAAGAAAATCAAGAACAAGCAAACCTAATAAATTGAATGAAAGTCAAAACTGTGGGTTCTTTTGTGGAGAAATTGACAAGGCAGATAAGGTTTCTGGAATCTTGGAAATGTTCTGGTTATCAGGGTGTGTACATAAGTAAAATTTCATCAAGCTATACACTTAAGAGTAGCACGCTTCATGCGTAGTAGTATACATACGCTTTACTAAAACGGCATAAAATGATAAAGGGAAAGTGCCATAGGGATTCTTTCAGAAATATAGGAGGACTATAATGGAAGGGAAAAGTGTAGCGGGATGTACCTAAAGAAGCATAAACTAAATAACTCATCTTTCTCAAAAAAAGCAGAAAAATCTGCTTGAAGGTGTCTAATATAAATCTTCCTCTGGTAAAATAGGATGACATCCTGTCTGATGCTTACATTATACCTAATTTTCCCTGCTGTCCACAGCTCTTCTCGCTTGGGATCCCTGGGGATAGGCATAGCTGTCTTTCCTCTTAAGCAAAGTGCCATGATGGATTGGACCACACAGATAACAATCCTGCTGCAAAATGGCGCCAACTCTATATATTCAATTGATGTGCCAGAGGGACTGTATTATCAGCAAAATGGCAATGCTGGAACGTGCCAGAAAATCTAAGCAGCTGTGTATGACCATGATGGAGGAACTTTTGGAGATGTCTATGCAGCTGCTGACTCTGAAGTTACTGAAGTGAAAGGATATAATGTTGCTTCAAGCTAGTATTGATTGGTGGGTACAGTAATCAGGAATATGAGCTGGAAACTCAGTCCACGTGGCCCTATGCATCCGTCTTCATTCGATGGCCCCACTAAACAAAGAATAATGGCTTCTTTCCTTTCTAATGCAAACTGTTTTAACAACTCTAACCTGGAAGTGGATAAAGGAAATGATTTTGAGAAACGAAGTCCCAACCATGTCCAAATTAACACACACAAGCCAGCTCAACCAACTTTACTTCTAGCTTTGTTTTTTCAAGGTCTCTTTTTAAACTCAAAACACTGGGTCCAACTCCCAGCCTTGAGCAAGGACAAAGAACAAAAAACAATGTATCAGAGAGGACTCTTCTTTTGAGAACTTTGCACTTATTGATTTCTGCTTAAATTGCTTATTAGACAGGAAAAGCTTTTAATAGTAAAAACTGATAACCTTAAGAAGTAGAAGTTCTCTTAGTTTAAAAAAAAAAAAAAAGGCAGAGTCCCTGGGTGGCTCAGTAGGTTAAACATCCAACTTTGGCTCAGGTCATGATCTCATGGATTATGGGTTCAAGCCCCACATTGGGCTCTCTGCTGTCAGCCTCTCGGCACAAAGCCCCCTTCAGATCCTCTGTCCCCCTCTCTGCCCCTACTCCACTTGCTCTATCCCCCAAATAAATACAAAAAAAAAAAAAGGAAAAAATATTGAGTAGGCAATTTCCAATATCTGGCATACTGGATCAAAACGAAATTACCAATTACAAGAAAAAATTACGAAAGAAATAATAAATACCAAAGTGTTGATATCATAATAACTGTACACTTGGAGAACAACGAGCATTTTTAGAAACTAGTTTTTTAAAAAAAGACCATTCCTGCCTATGAAAAACACCTCAAATCTCCTTATGGGTCCAAAAGATTTTGTCATGAAGAACCTTTACATCTCAGCCAAAATAAAAGGACCTCAAAATTAAACATGGTTAGAGGTGAAAAAGTATTAGAGTATCACCTAAAATATTCACATCAGAAAACAGAAAGTGAAAATCAATGAGCCTGCAGTCCACTTTAAAGGTGAGGCACTAATCTGTGCCTCTAGCAGTTTTCTTATACACAGGAAGTAATGTTCATTGAAGGCATTACCACGAGGTTTACATACACAGGGTTCCCTCAGCTGTGAGTTCTCAAGTCTTCAACCAGATAAGCAACAATTTCCTGCTTTCTTACATTCATAGGGTATCTCCACAGTGTTAGATGGAGGATCTGAAAACGCCTTGTAGACATTCCCAGATTTCTTACATTTATATATTTTCTCTGGTGTGAGTTTTCACATGTCTTCGAAAGTAGGAAGGACACACAAAAGCTTTCCCACATTCCTTACATTCATAGGGTTTATCTCCAGTGTGGCTTCTTACATGTCTTCGAAAGGATGAGGGACAACTGAAGGCTTTCCCACATTCCAGACATTCAAAGGGCTTCTCACCGGTGTGCATCCTTGCATGGATACTAAGGTATGAAGAATGGCGAAAGGCTTTCCCACATTCCTTACATTCATAGGGTTTCTCCCCAGTGTGTGTTCTCATGTGGCTTCTAAGGACTGAGGGATAAATGAAGGCTTTTCCACATTCCTTACATTCATAAGGCTTCTCTCCACTATGAGTTCTTAAGTGTTCCTTGAGGGATTTAGAACGGTTAAAAGCCTTCCCACATTCCTTACATTCATATTGTATCTTCCCAGTGTGATCTCTCACGTGTGCTCTAAAGGTTGAGGGACAACTAAAGGCTTTTCCGCATTCCTTACATTCATAAGGTTTCTCTCTACTTTGGTTTTTCACATGTGTATTCAGGGAAGTGGGAAGGTAGAAGGCTTTTCCACATTCCAGACATTCATAGGGTTTCTCTCCTGTGTGTTTTCTCATGTGGATTCTTAAGGAGGAAGGACAATTGTAGGCTTTCCCACATTCCTTACATTTATAAGGTTTCTCTCCTGTGTGTGTTCTGACATGGACAGTGAGTTTTGAGGATTTATTGAAGGCCTTCCCACACTCTTTACATTCGTAAGGCTTCTCTCCAGTATGAATTCTTATATGTATTATAAGGTGGGAGGAAGTACTAAAGGCTTTCCCACATTCCTTACATTCATATGGTTTGTCTCCACTATGAATCCTCTTGTGTTTTGAGAGTGAGGAGGAACAACTATATGCTTTCCCACATTCCCTACATTCATAAGGCTTATCTCCACTATGAATCCTCTTGTGTTCTGTGAGGGATGAAGAGCAGCTAAAGGTTTTTCCACATTCTTTACATTCATAGTTTGTCTTTCCAGTGTGAATCTTCATATGTGCCCTGAAGAATGAAGAACAAGTGAAGGCCTTCATACACTCCTTACATTCATAGCATTTCCCTTCAGTGGGAGTTTTCACATGCTTCTTAAAATAAGCAAGAAAATGAAAACCTTTCCCACATTCTTTACACTGATAGGGTTTGCTTCCTGCATGAGATCTGATGTGATTCCTAAGGGAATAATGATCTGTGAAGGCCGTTTTACACTCGCGGCATTCATAGGACTTTACTTCAGTAGTTCTCCTCGGTATATTAAGATGTGAGATTTGGCTGAAGATTTCAGCACACTGATTTTCGTCACTATGTTCATTGACGTTCTCCACCACAGGACTTCTTTTAAAAATAAAAAGCACATCATTAATGATAAATAAATGTTTACCATCTTCAGGGACTATGTACATTTTCTGCCCTGTCAAGTTACAAGCTCAAAGTTCTCTCAGAGGGCTCTACCATAGCCAATATTATCACAGAGTTGTTTTGGCTTATTTTTTTTACTTTTTCTGATAATTGCTTACAACTGAACTATGTGTCAAACACTGAAGATCTCAGTGTCATTTTGGGGGGGAAAATCTTGTAAAAATTGTTTATAAATTCACAATTTTTACCAAGTTCTATATACATGTTTTTTAAGTTTTATGACATTTTAAGATCCTCTTCTCAGGCACTACCTTTTCTTACTTACCTCAAATGTCTCTCATGGGTTTTGTTCTGATAATAAATAACTCGGTATTCCCCATTTTTGTGTAAAATGGATGACCAAGAGTCATTCCTTTTGAATCTTACTATTTTCTGTTCATTGGATATGTTTTGTCCATAAATATCTCGTGGAGTAACTGATTCTCTAGCTTTAAGCTGAGTCTCAAAACCTGAAACAAAAAAGTAAAGGCACCTTTAAGCAAAGGACTTCTGGAAATGTGGCTGTTTCAGGACTTTGGTAATATGCACAATGGTCAAAATGTAAGCAACTAAGAAATAATCCATGAAGACTGAACTGACAGTAACACAAACAGAGTATTAATAGGAGAACAGAACAGAAAGGAACTGGATAAAGTGCACATGACCAAATACTAACTCACAAGAGGAAATACAAAAGATCTTTCCAAGAACAAGGATACTGTAAGAATACTGATAAAACGTCAAAATATTAATCCAAGGTATCTGGAAGATGAGACCCCTCAAGCAAAACAAAGTTTGTTTTGCTTTTATTTGATTTTTCCAAATGTAATATCCCCCCAACCAGGAGAGTTTCTCCCAAGGATTCTTGCCTTCCTGGTGCTCCCCCTGGGTCGGTCCTCTTTCCACTGTCTCCAGATCCTCCTCTTCTTTCCACTGGGAGATCAGATACGGTGTGGGTAGCGGATACCCTGTTAATGCAGAAAGACTTATCATGAGGGAAAACAATGACGAACCATAAGCATTTCCATGACACAGGGTCAAAATTTTGCTCTTCTGATACTCTAATTATGGGCAAGGTAAATTTAATTTCAACAAGATGTTAAAAAAATGTTTCAAGTGGGGGCAAGGTGGAGGGGTTGACAGTGACAGAGACAATGACACAGCCTCTGATATCTAGAACCAATGTGACGTTCATATCTGAACTTCAATATTAGAAGCTAGTCTGATAGTCAGGACACTTTGTTATCCTGTTGAATATAAAAATCTCACAGAATACCAATCTTAAAGTTATGCTAAGATCATGATAAAATTAAACAAAATAAGGCCACTATGTAATTTAATCTAAGGATGACCACCTCACCAACGAGCGCGCGCGCCCACACACACACACACGCACACACACACACACACACACACACACAAACTCAATAATAAAATTTTTACCTCTTTTGTCAGCATCCAATCTAAAGTGACCACCTGTGGATTGAACAGTGTTCCTTAAAAATTTATGTCCAAAGAGATCAATGAAACAGAGAGCCCAGAAATAGACCTACATAAATACATTCAGCTGACCTTTGACAAAGGTGCAAAGGAAATACATAGAGAAGATTGTCTCTTCAACAAAGACTGAAACAACTAGACATCAACATGCAAGAAAATTACCCTAGACATAGACTTTCACACTCCTCACAAAAATCAACTCAAAAACGGATCACATGGATCAAAGACCTAAATGTAAAACGAAAAACTATGAAACACCTGGAAGAAAACAGGAGAAAATCTAAATGACTTAGGGTCTGGAGATGACGTCTTAGATACAACACCAAAAGCATGATCCATAAAAGAAAATTCATAATCTGGCCTACATTAAAATTAAAAGTTATTCTCTGCAAAAAACACTGGCAAGAGAATGAAAAGACAACCCACAGACTGGAGGAAAACATCTAGAAATGACACATCTGATAAAGGATTGTTATTCAAAATAAACAAATAACTTTTTAAAAATTTATTTATTTAAGTAATCTCTACACCAATGCGGGGCTCAAACTCCTGACCCCAAGATCAAGAGTCACATGTCTTCTGATTAAGCCAGCCAGGCACCCTCATAAAGAACTGTTAAAATTCAACAATAAGAAACCAAACAACCTGAGTAAAAACTGGGCCAAATACCTCAACAGACACCTCTCCAAACATATACAGATGACAAACATATGAAAAGATAGTTAAAAATGTCATCAGGAAAACACAAATTAAAACAATGAGACACTGCCACACACTTACGAGAACAACTCATATCCAGAACACTGACACCAACAAATGCTGGCAAGGAGCTCTCATTCACTGCTGATGGGAATGCAAAAAGGGAAACCCGCTTTGGAAGACAGTATGATCATGCAATCACTCCTTGGAATTTATCCAAAGAAGATGAAAACGTGTCCACACAAAAACCTGCACACACAGGTTTCCTGCAGCTATATTCGTAAGCGCCCAAACTCAGAAACAATTAAGATGTCTTTCAGTGGGTGAATGGATAAACTAGGATACATCCAGACAATGAAATACTTTTCAGAACCAAAAAAAATGAACTATCAAGCCACAAAAAGACCTAGAAGAACCATAAATGCATATTACTAAGTGAAAGAAGCCACTGAAAAATTTATATATCATGATTCCAAATACATGACATTCTGAAAAGCCAAAACTATGAAGACAGTAAAAAGATCAGTGGTGGCCACAGGTTAGTGGGGAAGGAGAGATGAACTGACAAAGCAAAGAGGAATTTTAAGGCAATTAAACCACTATGGATACTATAATGATGGATATATATATACTGTTAATTATTTGTCCAAACCACACAATAACACTAAGAGTGAATCCTAATGTAAACTATGGACGCATGGTGATGATGATGTGTCAGTTCAGGTTCATCAGTTGTAACAAATGTACCACTCTGGTAGATGTTGATAGCAGAAGACACTGTACCTGTGTGGAGGCAGGGCATACATGAGAAATCTCTGTATCTACTGCTCAATTCTGCTGTGAATCCACAAGGGCTCTAAAAAAAAGTAAGTGTCTTAAAACAACATGTCGGGGACCCCTAGGTGGCTCAGTCGGTTAAGTGTCCGACTCTTGATTTCAGCTCAGGTCATGATCTCATGGTTTGTGGTATCAAGCCCTCAGTTGGTCTCTGTACTGTGTCAGAGCCTGCTTGAGATTCTCTCTCTCAGCCCCTTTCCCGTTCATGCTCTTGGTCTTAATATAAATAAATAATTTTTTAAAAAGGCACCTAGGTGGCTCAGTCAGTGGAGGAGGGTCCAACTACTTATTTCAGCTCAGGTCATGATCTCATGGTTTGTGGTATCAAGCCCTCAGTTGGTCTCTGTACTGTGTCAGAGCCTGCTTGAGATTCTCTCTCTCAGCCCCTTTCCCGTTCATGCTCTTGGTCTTAATATAAATAAATAATTTTTTAAAAAGGCACCTAGGTGGCTCAGTCAGTGGAGGAGGGTCCAACTACTTATTTCAGCTCAGGTCATGATACCAGCGTTGTGGGATCACACCCCTCTTCAGGCTCCTCACTGAGCATGGAGCCTGCTTAAGATTCACTCTCTCTCTGTCTCTGTCTCTCTCTCTCTTTCTGTCCCACTCCCCACCCCTCTCCCAGATGTTCTCTCTAAAATTTAAAGAAAAAGTCATGTTCTGTGAACGTTTCTCAGAATGTTACTTTGGAAATCGGGTCTCTGTAGACATAATCAAGTAAAGATGGGAAAAAAAAAAGTAAAGAGGAAGTTATACTGGATTAGAGTGGGCCTTAAATCCATTTACTAGTGTCCTTATTAAGGACGAACATAAAAAGGGGGAAAGGCCATGTGAAGATGAAGGCAAAAATCAGAGAGGCGCCTGAGTTGCTCAGCTGATCGAGTGGCCAACTGTGACTCAGTCATGATGTCAGCCCACATCAGGCTCTCTGTTGTCAGCACAAAGCCTGCTTTGGATTCTCTGTCCCTCTCTCTCTCTGAACGTCCCCCGCTCCTGCTCTCTCTCTCTCTCAAAACTTGATAAACATTTTTTTAAAAAGGCAAAGATTAGAATGATAGAGCTGTATGGGGCAACTGGCCAGCTCAGTTGGTGGAGCGTGCAACTCTTGACCTTGGGATTCTGGGTCTGAGCCCCACATTGGGTGTAGAGATTATATAAAAAGAAAATCTTAAAATATATATATATATATCGCTGCAAACCAAGTAACACCCAGAATTACTAGCAACCACTAGAAGCTGGGAAGAGACAGGGAGAGATTTCCCACAGAGCCTTCAGAAGGGGCCTGGCTCTCTTGACACCTTGAACTTGTATCTCCAGTCTCCAGAAATATGAAAGAAGAATAAGTTTCTGCTGTTTTTAGCCACAGTTTGTGGTACTTGGTTATGAAAGGCCTAGGAAACTAATACAGCCAACTTCCACAGGCCCATCCCCAAATCACTAACCCAAAGAACAAACCCTACAATATATACTTTTTAACACCTTTCTGAGACATACCCCAGCCCCCCAAGTCAGTGAGTAATAAACACCACTTGTTTACAGGTATGTTCCTGGTGGTCTCTGAGTGAAGAGCCCCGACATCAATAAAACTTTCCCGAGGACCCAAACCACAAACGTCCCTAAGACCCAAAGGGATGCTGGAAGTCTATCCCCACACTTTCAACACTTCATAATCAACGCTTTTAATCACAAGAAAAAGGCAATTCACTACTACACAGATGTTTATTTTCATGGTGAAACCACTAGGCTCTAAGTTCCTTGGGGTCAGTGACCATGTCTGTCTTATTTACCACTATATTCTAATTCCTCAGCCCGAATCCTAGAACAAGGTAAATTAGTAAAATTGTTTTCTAAACAGCCAAATGGAGGAATGTTGCCACTCTTACCTAGTGAGGCCAGGTTCTGGAAGTTTTCCAGCATCACATCTCTGTAGAGGTTCCTCTGAGCAAGATCCAGCAAAGCCCACTCCTCCTGGGTAAAGTCCACAGCCACGTCCTCGAAGACCACCGAGCCCTAAAACATCCCACATGTATTCTCTTCAGAAAGGTACCTACTCTCCCCATGTATGAGGTTGATAATACTGGGGAACTGAGAACCAATTCATAGGAAGTTCTGAAGATACTAAGGTCTCCCAACATCTACCCCAGAATGCAGTCATCAGGTCTTTCTCTCTCCCCATAACTGTCTCCTTAACTGATCCAATCCTGTCTCATGGATCTAATGACAATTCTAAAATGTTAAATTTCTCTCTTCCACAGTTTGATGTGGATAAGACCAATTCCAGTCTTATAATAATCCAGGAGAGTCCAGAGGATAGAGCAGAAGTGAGAGAAATGCTCTAGAAATGACGTAATTTCCACACGGACACCAGCAGTTGTTACAGGAACAATTTCATTTCACCTGCTTCCTTCTTTCCCACCGTAGCAATCAGTACAAGATGAAACACTGGGTCAAATCGGAATGAGGTTTAAATGCATAAAAACACACCAAGGAACAAGGAGCTTTTCTTTTTTTCACAAACCTGAGATCCAGGGACCTGCAGAAATACAGCTTTCAACTCGCGCCCACAGCTAGCCATATTTTCTCATCCTCTAAGCCAGGGGTCAGCAAACTACAGCACACGGGCTAAATCCAGCCTACTACTTGCTTGTAGAAGTAAAGTTTTACTGGACCATAATAAAACATTTCTTTATGTACCGTCTGGGGCTCCTTTCATGCTAACTTGGCAGTTTAACTGCAATAGACTCTCTAGCCTTCAAAGTCTAAAATACTTACTATGTTGTCCAATAGAAAGGAGATTGCTGACCACTGCTCTAAACAACTAGGAGGTCATTGACCTGGTGGAATGGAAAATTATTTTGCCAAATTATTAGCCCCGACTCACCTGTGTCATATTTTTCTGTAACTCAGCAGCTGTTCTTTCTTCTTTCATGTTCCCTTCATGAAGAAAGCCAGAGAAGTGAGAAGTTAGAGCTGAACCAAGAGAAAGAAGACACGAGAATCCAGGTCTCCCCACAATTCATGAGCCTAGATGCTACGGCAGGTCCGCTATAAGGGACCGCTCCCCTCAAAACGCTCGCACATGCACATCCCCAGCCCCAAGGCACCCAGCCAAACACACACCGATCTGGTAAGAAGGTGAAGTAGTCTTATGTCCTCCAGAGCTACAAAACACCGCTGTGGTCCTTGCTGATCAGTAAAAAAAAAAAAAAAAGTTAAATGTCCCATCTTGTAAGTTAACTGAAACTTTTTAAAGTTTAGCTGTTAATTTTCCCCTGAACGTGAAAACCGAAAAATTTGACACAATGTTTTCCACCATAAAAATACACAATGTGTCAAATCCAAAAAGGCACTTCTATATCAAACTTCTGGGGGCTCTACTCCCAACACTTCTTACTTCTGCACTACTAGCAGGCTAATAGGCTTTGCTGCGCAGCCTCGGACCGCCAAATCCTCCCTCCACGCTCTGCAGGGTCTCTGAAACTTGGTTTTTGAGGAATGGCATCAACTGACTGAATTCCACATGTGGTAGGCAGTGAAGACTGCTATGCTGTGACTCTCATGCTAAATGTTGCCTGTACAGTTCAGCAGCACCAGAGCAAGAACACCAGAAGTTGGCAATTTATGTCATCTCAGATGGTGTTCTCTGCAGCTGTTAACACAAATTTAAAATAATGAAAATGCAACCATTTTTTCCATGCAGTGGATCAAGTAGTATATTTTTTTAATGTTTATTTATTTTTGAGAGAGAGACAGAGTGTGAACGGGGGAGGGGCAGAGAGAGAGGGAAACACAGAATCTGAAGCAGGCTCCAGGCTCTGAGCAGTCTGCACAGAGCTCAAAGAGGGTCTTGAACCCAGGAGCCAAGAGATCATGCTCTGAGGTGAAGTCCATCTGGCACTTAACAAAGTGAGCCAGCCAAGCGCCCTCAAGCAGTATATTTCAAAGCTGATGAAAACTTTAACATTCTTTACTATATTAATAATGTGCCATTTGAGCAACCATGATATGAGAATAACATTGCCAAGAGCCTTTCTCTCATAGAAGCTCTGCAATCAGATATTATTACAACTCAATTTACCACACACTCAATGTTAGTCAGAAACTAACTATATGTACTGTATATGTACTGCATATACAGGTGTGTAAATGCAGGCCTATTTTTCTTCAAAGCCTAAAATCCCAATGAGTATATTTCTGAACACAGACCTTATAATTTAGCTGTTAATGAGGCCGTTATTACTAACATTACCAGAGTCTGGCCTGGAACCCTGCTGTGCACTACGGAGAGTAGACAAATGAAGTATTCCACTGAAATGTTTCATCTTTGTGAGCTCCTCCTCTTGACTAAGCCTCATGTCTTGAGCAAGGACACTTCCCTTCCGGCCCTTACCTCTTGCTCCTTTGTTTCATATTTACTTAGGTAATATTTACCCTGATGCCACTACATACAGTCACAGGGGATATAGCACTAGACAAAACAGAAAGATCCTGAAGCACAGGAATGTTGTAATCTGTTGAGGGAGGGCAGTAAACAAAGAAATGTATCAGGTAGTGGTACATGATACATAATAATGCAGCTAGCCCAGGACAAGGATAGAGACACATATTTATCTTTATTGAATTAGGACTACTTTTCTGGAAGGGAAAAAGTAGAAAATTAAGAAGTGTTTCAGGTGCACCTCGGTGACTCAGTCAGTTAAGCTTGCAACTCTTAATTTTGGCTCAGGTCGTGAGCCTCAGTTGTGAGACCAACCCTCACATGGGGCTTACCACTAAGCATGGAGCAGGTTTGGGACTCTCTCCTTTTCTGCCTCTCCCTCGCTCATGCTTGCTCTCTATAAACAAACAAACAGTTTTTGAAAAAAAGCGCCCAGAGGCAAGGTAAAGGTCACCGATCAAATATCTCCTGCCCCTGGAGGGGAGCGATGGGAACGGAGTTGAAGCAATGGTCACCCCGCGCTCACCGAACACGCTGAAATCCAGACCAGCGTACAGACGAGGTGGAGGCGCTCGTCTCCGTGACCCGAATGGCAGGGATGCTTTTACTTTCTGAAAAGACAGCAAAAGATGCTTTGGAAGGCCGATTAAATACGAGGGTGGTTCTCTAACTCTGACCTACAGCCGACTCACCCCGGCTGCTGGACGCAGCCCAGAGCTCCTGATTCAGGGAGTTCGGGACGAGCAGCTGCCGGGGGAGGCCCTCAGCGCCGGGCTCCAGCGGGGGTAAGGGGCACGGCCCGAGCGGCCGTCCTGTAAATGCCGACCTCTCCGCCTCCCGCAGGCCGGACCGAGCCTTGAAGAACGGGAACATAGATGTTGAAAATACACCTCAGACTCGACTGGGGGACCGAAGGGATATGGCCGCCAGCTCGCGCAGGCGCAAGAGCCCACCTCTGCTTCCGGTTTCTGGGACGCGCACAGCGTAAGGGGTGGAGCTTCGGGAGCTGAGTCCTGGGATTAAGCCGGGCGCTCGGGAAGGAGGCGGTGGCTTGTAGCCGCCAGTGGAAGAGAAATGCTGGCCCATTAACTCAAAAGCCCTCTGGGCCCAAACTCAGACTTTTCATATCCAAATTTTAAAATAGCCCCATCAAAGCTATTCTTAGCCATTCAAGGCCTCCTGCTTTGCATACTCTGAAAATGTCACCCAGCATCTACTGAACATTGATAAGACATAGAACCTAGTCAGACACCAAACTGCCTTGGACTTTCAGAGCTCTCTGACCCCTCCATGGTGCTGAGCAAAGTCACCTAGACACTAAGGCCCCTCCCAGATGCCCCTTTCCCCCACGGGTTCCCTTGCCCTCCTCCCCTTCTGGATGGTGGCCTCAATGACATAAGCCTTTGGATGTTCTTATGTTGGGACTTCCCCTGTCATGTAGTCCTGTCCAAGAGCCACCCTGTTGAAGGAAAAATGGTGGCGTCAAAGCGGTAAAACAGATTTTATTCAGGACTATCGAAACAGGGGAAAAGACACCCTGGTATAAAAGCAGGTTCAAATCCAAATAACTTGTGGCTAAATGAGAATTTATAGGCAAGAGGCATGGTGGAGGTCAGTGGACAGTAAATCTTTGTCACCCAGTAAAGTTCCTTGGATGTTACTGCCTCCTGTGGGCCTATCTTCTTCCTAGATCAGTCCTCAAAGCTCTCAAATTCCCTACAGGTTATCAGGTGACTGAGGTAATCAGGAAATAGATAATAAGGACCACCCAATCAACAGGACAATCATTTGACAAAACTATACTGGACAGTTTCAGGTGGTTGAGACTCTAAAACTCCTCCATGTCAGTTTGACATGGTTTTGCTCTGTGCTCTTATGGTCTGTGTGTGTTTTGTTGTTGCTATTGTTGTTGTTGTTCTAAGTTTATTTTGAGAGAGAGCGAGCAATCGAGAGGCAGAGCTAGGGAGAGAGAGAGAATCATACGCAGGCTACACGACAGCATGGAGCCCGATGCAGGGGCTTGAACACTTGTACTGTGAGATTATGACCTAAGCGAAAATCAAAAGCCAGTCGCTTAATCGACTAAGCCACCCTGGTGCCCCTTGCTCTGTATATGTTTTGTGATTCTCCCACTATTAGCCTCAACAAGTGGTAGTGCAGGTGATGCAGGCAGGTTGGGTCCAAGGACCCAGAGGGGGGTCCCACAGGACCAGCTAAGAGGGCCCTTGGCTTCTCACAGAGAGTTTATTGAATATCATGAGTGACACAGAGAATAGCAGATGGAGTGCCTGGGAGACGAGGAAAGGAAAAGAGAGTTGTGGTTAGGGGTTTATACTGGAAAAGGGCCTAGAGTAGGTTTTTCTTCAGGATTCCAGGGTAGAGTCCAATCAAAGGCAAGTGTCAGGTGAACAATAGACGTCAAAGGTAAATTACTGATGCCANCAGGTTGGGTCCAAGGACCCAGAGGGGGGTCCCACAGGACCAGCAAAGAGGGCCCTTGGCTTCTCACAGAGAGTTTATTGAATATCATGAGTGACACAGAGAATAGCAGATGGAGTGCCTGGGAGACGAGGAAAGGAAAAGAGAGTTGTGGTTAGGGGTTTATACTGGAAAAGGGCCTAGAGTAGGTTTTTCTTCAGGATTCCAGGGTAGAGTCCAATCAAAGGCAAGTGTCAGGTGAACAATAGACGTCAAAGGTAAATTACTGATGCCAGTATCAGCCAAGGCTTCTTCAAAGCTAATGTCCTGGCACATGTTTGGGATCTGGCCCTTCTAGGTTATCAGGTGTTTGGGGCCTAAGATGAAACTCAAAGAATGATTAACTCTGGTGCTTTCCCCTTGAATGGGAATGTAGCTATTTTGGCTATTTGGCTATTTTGGCAAAATATTGAACATGAGGAAATGGGGTCTAGCAGAAAAACAGCAGAGATGAGGCCATTTTACAATGGAGTCCCAGGGCTCCTGGGTGGCTCAGTCAGTTCAGTGTCCTACTTCAGCTCAGGTCATGATTTCATGATTCATGAGTTCCATCCCTATATTGGGCAATGTGCGGACAGCTCGGTACCTGGAGCCTGCTTTGGATTCTGTGTCTCCCTCTCTCTTTGCCCCTCCCCCACTCGTGCTCTGTCTCTCTCCTTCTCTCAAAAATAAATAAAAAAATTAAAAATTTTTGTTTCTTAAATTTTTTAAGAAAGTGACTTTCTTTTTTTCTTAATTTTTTTAAAAAATGTTTTCATTTATTTCTGAGACAGCGTGAGCAGGTTGGGTCAGAGAGAGAGGGAAACCCAGAATCCGAAGCAAGCTCCAGGCTCTGAGCTAGCCGTCAGCACAGAGCCCGACACAGGGCTGGAACCCACGAACCATGAGATCATGATGGGACCAAAGTCGGACGCTTCAACCTACTGAGCCACCCAGGTGCCCCAAAACATTAAAAACTTTTATAAAAAGAAAGAAAATGGAGTCCCTTCACTTCCCTACCTCTTAGGTATTTAAGTGAACCTCATTGAAACTGACTTCTTGGGTCAGAGGTGCAGCTGCCTGGGAGAAGTAAGCTTGCTTTCCTGGTCCCCCACTAAGCAGCCCCTGGACCTGTAAGACTTAGGGGCCCAAGCAGGAAAAGAGGAGGAGTGCCCAAGTCTGGACCAAGGGTGGGCTGCCCCTGACCCCATCCTGGGCTGTCGCAAGAGCAGGTCCCCACGGCCAGTTGGTGTTTCAGGGTTCTCTGAGACTAGACAAGACCTAGGGATTGCTCCAACTGGTATATCAGCTCATAAGGTAGAGATAGCAGGTCTCCTTAGCACAGTTAGGGGAGGTGCCTTTGTCCACAGCTGGCAGGCTTTCTCTGTAGTCCCACTCAGACCTACTGTCTAGGAAGGAATCCCAGCCCCTCCCCAGAGGGACAATGAGTCCCCCAACTCTTAGGCCCAGCCAGCCAAAATATTACTTAGAGTAACCCAAGTCAAAGAAGTTTATATCCTTGTCCTGCTCCCCCAGGAGCTCAAAGAAGGTGGCTGTTTTACTGAAAGAATGTTTTGAACCATGAGATGGATGTCGGGACCTGGTTACCACAGCTTCGTATACCACCCAGAGGAGGAAAGAGCCCAAGCTTCTGGAGGTGATGAGACAGGACAGAGTGCAGGATCATGGGGAGAAAAATAATGACCAACGTGCTCTGCTAGAAAAAAAAATAAGGGGTCAGCACTGTAAGAATGAAGACATTTTATCCTCTACTTTGCCAGTGACCTTCCAAAATGTAGTAAAAGGCCAAAAGGCAAAACGGGAAGGCAAAAAAAAAAAGAAGAAGAAGAAGAAGAAGGGTTGACTCTCTCTTGGAGGAAGAAAGACCCATCATCTGTCTACTTAAGAGCCTATCCCTCTCCCCAATCCCAGGAAATCAATACCTTGAGAGGAGGATTAACTAAAAGGGCAAGTACCAGCTTAACTATTAAAATCAGCGCACTTTGGCTGAAAGATGATTCTGTCTTGAATGTTTCTCCCAGACGACCCCTCTTCCCATGCTTGGAATGGGATCTGCTGAGCCAACCTCATGAAAGGAGCCTAAAGCTTTTTGCTGTTCGTGGGCACCAGCTGTTAAGAACCAGTTAGCCTGGGGCGCCTGGGTGGCTTAGTCGGTTAAGCGTCCGACTTTCGCTTAGGTCATGATCTCACGGTTCGTGGGTTCGAGCCCCGCGTCGGGCTCTGTGCTGACTGCCAGCTCAGAGCCTGGAGCCTATTTCAG